ACCACAGGTATCCGTTTAACAACACTTTGACGTAGTGGGTGTGACTCGCCATTAAATAAAATCACTGCCTATTCCCTTTTCCAGAGGATCATTCACGCATCACGAACGCCATCCGGTTCGAACCGTTCCATTGATTTCACCCTTTTATGGAGAACTTAACGAGCAGAAACCCACAGAATCACATTTACCTAAGCACACAACATGACTATTTCCAAATACAGACATAAACGTAATTTTACATGTCAACAGACACATACATTCCTACGCTATTTGACAAAATATACCAATTTGTGAAATCGCCCATCATAAATGCCTGTATTGACATGATCACGCTCTTGATGGTGTGCCTCACAATGACGAGAGTAAACGATTCCTTTAGTTAGTTATTTAAATGTTGAGGAATTGCTCAGCGATGCTATGTAGGCTCCTTCACACTGTACAGCCAAAGAAAAATACATCTCTACACCTGCACCCAAGGAAGTGCCGTAAGTGCTGTTACACAAGAAGTCCAGCTAGTTGGCATAACCAAGGGCCAAACTAGACGGTACTTGCGTGTCCATGTACCTAGAGAGGATGTATATGATCCGATGCGCCAATACTTGAGGCGTACGATCAAGTGAAACTGCAACGGAAACACCTTATCCTGAGGTAGAAGAAAGGAATGCCCAACAATCTTTAGGTAGCTTGAAAGTCTTCAGTAGCAAAACCTACTGCCGAAGTAGGAGCAGTTAAGCGCAACCAGCGCTTTGGAGTACTCCCAGTGACTCCACACCCAGGTACAACCCTACGTGAAGCATTTGAACACTTTATCACTACGGACAGATATATGACAGTTTTGAAAACCGACTGAAGCATGTAGATATGCAGAAGGACAACTTCTAGCCATCCTAAACCGCAATGCTTCGCCTCGTCGGCCAACGAAGCGAGCGCGTTCAAATAATGCGTGGACAGATAGATGTGCACCGCCGACCGTGATGTCCCGCAGCGGACACGTTTCCGTGTATGCGACAATTTCGGGAGGGGCAACAACAAGCAGACATTTTTCCTACATTTTATACCTGAGGTTGAGAATAGTACGGAGCGTGAAAAAGCGCTTTCGCAATAATCAAACCTGGATCTGCGCTACCAGCGCAAACACTGGCAGTGCGGATGCGAACGGACGACTGATTACCTGAAAACCCACTGACGGGACATCCTGCGCCCCTGCGTTTGAGTTACTTTGCCGCCTCTTACAGCAGCAACATAAGCGTTAGCATGGCTGGCTGTACACCAACATTAGTGCCATTGCGTTTGAAAGCAAACAGCAACAGCGCGTTGCGTTACCCAGGGGTATATAGCACCACTCAAAGCAAGCACTAGCTAGGGTTTTGCCCATTATTCGGGGTTACACAGCCTGGTCAGTTTCCTGACAGTAACACCAAGGAGCGCATGTGGAAGAGCCGTCATTAGGCACAATTTAGACCACTGAAGGTGGCCAAACAAGCGTTCAACTGCAAGTACGGCAGTGGATGGCACAGCGTGACGGAATGTCAAACTGCTATTCATGCATCAACAAGCGATTTTTATGGTATTGTGGGAACCATTGGTTGAGCAACAGAGTTCATCTGCGCGTTTAGCTCTATCAAGCGGACATTGCTAGGGACCATAAGTGTTTTTGTCAACCAGTCTAGCTTACGATTAAGAGCGGCTAGCAAAGCGGCCTACGCCGTGACTGAATTCACCAAACTTTTCAGTCTCGACCGAGGACACCCGGACTACCCTGTCGGTGTCCACGAAAACGGACACAGGTAACTTGCCGTGTCGCTGGTAAATAACATGGCGTACGGTTAAACAGTAACATCGGTGCACTGGTACTCACACCTTCGGTTGCACTCGTTCCACTGAATGTCGCCAGAATCAACAGTCAAACGCAAATCACAGCTTACCCTCCCGTAAGCGGCTTTAACTTCTACGCTTGTATTGGCGCTTAATGAGACGGACAATATAAGGTGGAAAGCAGCAGCATTGTAACACGTGTATGCAGCAAAATGACACACAGGTTAAAGGTGATAACTGGTAAAACGGCATAGTAAAGCGAACTCCGAAAAAGTCACTGGCAAGCGTCCCATAATCGCTTAGAGCGACACCAATATCATCGACCAAAGTTGACGTGGAGCACCCAGAAGTGGTTTCTTGTGTTTAATCAACCACAGTTTTTCACAAAATTTCAGTTGAAAAGGCCTATGTATGGCACGCTCAAATGTACACTTACCTCGTCGAGGCCAGTACCGAAACTAGTTGTCACGGGTTCTAGTATTGACAACCAGCGTTTCATGCAATATCAAGAGCTGCTTTCCAAAAAAGGCAGCAAGCTTGGAATGCACGCGGCTCAATCGCAAATACTGGCACGAGAACTCTTAAGGCTGCGGAGTCAGATTTAGATGCAGCTGTAACTGAAACGATAGAAAAATCCTTTGTGCATTCCTTCTTAAGCGGATCTATGAGCCAGGAACTTATAATCTGCTGCGAGGTCTTAATACATCTCAAACGAAACACCCAACCACACCCTGGTCAACTAATTGCTACCCACGTTCCCTGCACTTGCAGTTCCCGTTATGTAGCACAGGTGAAATAAGGAAGGGTTAGAAGGAAAATGAAAGATAAAGTGGCAGGAAAGTCATTTAAATGAAGGGTGTGGTCAGAATCGTGGCAACTGCCAGTCGGTCTTGCAAAGTGTTCGGTCCTGCGCCTAGGATCAAGCACAACCACAACTCCTTACGTACTTGGCGGAAATGTAGCGCGTATCTCGTTATCCTCTGACTTTCAATCCAGGGAGAACTGGACAGATGCTACGAGCAAGGGTTTTCGAATGCTGTGGATGATCCGCAGATCGTTCTGCAGTATAACAACTAAACTGTTTGTTACGTTGTTCTTAGCATTTGTCATTCCATACTTGGAGTACTGCGTGCAAGCCTGTCCTCCATGCTTGGTACGCGACAATATGGCACTTGAACGAGTTCGGAGGATTGGTACTAAAGTGGTACAAGGGTTTAGGCATCTCTCGTATCCTGATTGGCTGCTCAGGTTGCAGATGTTTTCGCTGCACTTTAGGCGCCCTCGGGGAGACCTGATTCTTACGTACCTTATATTGACCAGCAAGATTGGGCCTGATGTAACTGGACAATTTCATCCGGCTCAAATACCATCTCTTCGTGGTCACCCTCTGAAGCTGCATAAGCCCAGAACTGATCACGTTAGAGCTGACTTTCGTTTAGCACGCAGGGTCATCAACTCATGGACGGCGCTACCCAGCGAAGTAGCATTAGCACCAATGGTTGAAGGAGTTTGAACATTGACTCGACGCCACTGGTTTACAGTTTCATACCTTTCCTTTTGGTTCTTAACTTCTACATCCATTTCCTTGGCTTCTCACATCTATTACTATTATTGTATTATCCACACATTCTCTTCTGTAGTACAGTTATCATTATTTTGTTTTGTTGATTCCCTTCTCTTAGCTTTTATTCTATTCACGTAGCCGATACAGGGGGACTGCAAGTGCAGGCCGCGTGGGCACTAATTGGTTGACCGTTATGTGATTCGTGTGTATTGCTTTGGCTCTCCTCGGTTTCAAATCGCTCCAGCGAACCCAATCCTGGTTCAACGAAGCATTGAAGAAGGAACACACATGGGAACTTTCCTACCCCTCCTGTCCAAAATGAAATTGAAATTGAAAACGATAACACCAAATAGCGAGGTGAATGACCTGATATGAACTCAAACTTGGAAGGTGGACATGGTCAGGAAAAGGGAAAGGTTTCCTGGTGACACCCAATTGTGCCTAACTGATGATCGGAACCCTTTACACTAGGTAACCTGACTAAACATTTAGAAGCGAGTTCCAGCGCTCGATACCCCTAAGCCGTACCCGAGTTTCCGCCCTGGCCCGGTCGGAACGCGGCTTGGGTAGCTCATTTGATGGCCGCGAAGACAACGCACTCCTACCAAGCTAAATAGCCAGAGCTAGTCCGGGCCAACTTACGTTGTTAAAATGTGGTACGTAAGGATTAGGATCACTCGGAACCGTCGGTAGTGCATTGAATACACACCCAAGCTAAGTAGAAGCTCGGGGTGGGATTGCCCCCGTTACCCCTCGACAAATATAGTACCTACTCACAAAACCCTCTCGAGCTCATTTTTGTCGCGAACAAGGCATGGCGGGCAAAGCCTGCACACAGTATTCCAGATGAGACCGAACGAAAGCTGCGAACAGTTTCACAATTGTGTCGGCAGGTAAGGCCCTAAGCGAACGGCGCGTTAAACGCAGCATTCTGAAAACCCTGCTTGCAGCCTCTTCCAGCTGGCAACAGAACGCAAAGACGAAAAATTAACGACGCCTAGGTCTGCCTGGTTGGAGACAAGAGAGTTTAACCCCGCGGAGCACGTATCCCGATGGTGGAAATTTTGCTCCCAAACGAAGGACGGAACATTTAGTCTGATTAATGGACAGGACCCACAAAGTAGACCAGTCCCAGAGTCTGTCCAGGGCATGCTGAATGACCTGAGAACCCCCAGGGACATTTACTACATTCGGTAGCTTAAGGCCATCAGCAACCAATTGGAATGAAACCCTAAGCTCTCCAGGAAATTCGTTTACTTAAATGGAACACGGCATCGGCCCAAGGACCGAGCCCTGTGTGACATCGCTATGGACCGCTGGCCTAAAGGATAAGCTGCGACCCAGACGTACACACTGGTATTTTCCTACAAGAATGCACCTCATACTCTACTTCCCCAGCCCCTTTGCAGCGATCACAAAGCATGCGACAAACCGCAGCAGCGTCATCCAACTTAGCGCAAATCGACCAAATAAGCCTCGTTGCTTTTACGCCATTCCAAACAATACGAAATAGGGAAGCAATGCATCCATCAGGCATTCGACTTCGTTTGATTATTTTGAAGTCAGCATTCTAAATCAATGTATTTATTCCTTCTTCACGCGAGGACCAACATTTTTGGCATGTGTACCAAAGTGCAACGCCCCTGTTCGGCTACTTTCCCTTACAAAAATTAACCGCTCCCTAATTTCAATGACTTCACTTTATTGTTTGTGGCTATGGTAAGTTGGCCAGGACATTTCCTTTAAACCTTTAATATGGTCTTTAATAAGCTTGCATTAGCGATGCTTTTGTTTCTTTCCCACCACTGAAATTACACAAACTCCGTTCGGACCAGGTTGGAACATTCTCGGATATCACGCCAGGTTATAGTCACTTGGAATGCTCTGCTCCCGGTGGTAGTGCTGGCAGCAACGATGAAAGTTCGAACATCTACTTGACGCTCTTGGTCTACATTTTAAAACCCCATTCTCATCCTACTGCTCTTATATGCATCAACATGTTGATGCTTACTGTTTTTTACTTTCCATTTGCATTCCAAACTTGTTACACTCTTTACTCCAGTTCGACTTATTTTTGTTTTTTTTCACTTCACGAAACCGACACAGCGGAGGGCTAATGCCACAGGGTACGTGGGGACTGGGCTGCTCTGTGACAGTTGCCCATAAATTATGCAGTGTTCCATCTTACGATTAGGGCCAAATAACCCTCACACACTTTATCTGCTTGGCGGTAATGAACTACACCATGTTTCCCAATTGGTAGACCTAGAGGTCACGTTGTCTTCAGAACTCAAATCCAGTGAGAACTTGAAGAAAGCTACGTGCAAGGGTTTCAGAACGTTGTGGATGATCCGCAAGGCATTCGGGACCATCACAGACGCTATGTTCTTTACGTTATTCTCAGTTTTTGTTCGATCACACTTGGAATACTGCATCCAGGCTTGTCCACCTTGATTAGTCGGGGACGGTGTCAGGTCAGGTCAAACGGCCGATAGAGGCTTCCACCTAACGAGCGTCCAGTTCTTGTGCCAGTAAGTGAAGCGGCCCCCGGCACTTCGACGTTGGATTGTCTCTTCTTGCTTCTGCAATGGAATGAAGCAAGAACAAAAGCAATCTTTGCACTTTCATGTGTCAACATCAAAATACACTACATATTCCAGTATAACTGCAATATCTCTGGAAATAGGATAAACCAACAATCATCTAAGCCCCTTTTGAAGGCTTCTACAGTCTCAGACTCCACTAAGTCAGAAGGAAGTTTATTCCAGGAGTTAACCACTCGGTTCGTAGAAAACTGCCCTGATGTCCAAACGAGCTCTATGATGTTTGATCTTCAGGCGATGCCCGCGCAGATGGTCTGACATAGCCAACTCAAACAGATGGGTAGGACTAATGTCACTAAGTCCCCTAATGATCTTAAACGTCTATCAAATCCCCTCTCAATCTACGCCGTTCCAAGGAAAATAATCCCAAACTACTTAGACCATCTTCGTATGACTTCCCTCGCTGACCTTCGATCATCCTGGTCGCAAGTTTCTGAATGCTTTCTGTACAAACGACGTCACTGCGGAGGTACGGTGCCCAGGCCTGAACACAATACTCCAGATGTGGCCTAACCACTGATTTATATAACGGCAAGAATACTTCTGCTTTAGTGTTACTCAGTGCCCTACTAAGACGAAATAACTCTTGTCGCGCTTTATTGGCAGCATGGCGATACTGTGCCGAAGGCTTAAAATTGTTCACTACGATGACACCTAAATCGAGGGCTTCATCAGTACACCGCAATGATAGAGATCCTGCAGGAGACTGAACCGCAATTCCGCTACCACTACTGGTCAATAGTTGACATTTATTGGCATTTAGAGGTAGATCCCATTGGCTCGACCAATTCACCACAGTGATGATGTCCTTAGCCAATGTCGCTCGGTTTCCCCTACTGACTGGCTTCAAGTCATCTGCGAAGATATAGTAGGGATTTTCAAGAAGAGGAGTCAGGTCATTTATAAACATAAGAAACAACAATGGACCCAGAACCGAACCTTGGGGGACACCGCTGTAGGGATGGTCAACACTAGAACTCGCTTCCCCAACTTTGACTCTGAATATCCTTCCACGTAAGAATTCAGAGAGCCATAGTAGTAGTTGAAGATGCAATCCAAACCATGTCAACTTCTCAATTAAAAATCGATGATTCACTGAGTCAAAGGCTTTACTGAAGTCCAAATAGCACACCTCTACCGACATCCCACTATCAAGGCATCGGGTAATCTCGTTTAAAAAGTACAATAAATTGGTGAGACAAGACTTCTTTTTAAGAAAGCCATGCTGTTCCGCTCTAATTACATTGTGCTCAGTCAAGTGCTCACAGATCCTGTTCCTTATAAGCTTTTCCAAGCACTTCAGCATGATGCTGGTCAAACTAACAGGTCTATAGTTAAGAGGCACCGATTTAGAACCCCCCTTGTGAATGGCAACAATAGTCGCCTCCTTCCAATCACGTGGCAGCTTGCCTTTTTGAAGAGACTAATTGAATACAACCATGACATTTTCTTCAAATATAAACTTCATCCTGCATCGGCCGTCGCGCAGATTATCAAGGGTCGCCTTATCTGCTGCGTACAGCAAGGTGGATAAACGAAAGCATGCTACTGCTGGCGCCTCCCTTCTTTCTTTTCCACCTTTTTCTCTTACTCCCATCCCGGCCCCCATTACTAACCTTCCTTCTATAATTCCCAGCTTAATTGACAGCAACCGAAGTGCTACTGGATTAGTGCCATCTGCAGCCACCATCCTGCAGCACCTATCGGACGCCTATCGACAAAAGTCCCTTATAAGGCCACGCTGTCCCGTTTCCATGGCGACATTCAACGTCCGCACTAAGACAAACAGGTCAGCAGGCTGCACTCGCATGCACCTTGGACACACTGGGTGTTGATGTGTGTTGCGTGTCCGAAACTAGGATTAATGACCCTAATGCGGTTGTTGATTTAACCGTACCCGCTTATCCTATCGTTATTGGTTGCACGCATCCGGAGGCGCCGATGCGGCAATCACGGGTCAAGATGGTGTAGGTATCATACTAAGCCCCAAGGCTTAGCCATCATGGGCTGTTTGGATTCCGGTGAACAGCCGTTTATGTGCAGCCCGTTTGACGACATCAGCTAAGGTGAATTCGCGAAGTAAAACAAAACGCTGTTTGTTTGTGATTTCCGTTTATGCTCCCACCGACTGCAGTTCTAATGCAGTCAAGGACACATTCTGTGACGAACTGAACGCCCTACTACGCAGTGCTACTAGTTCAGATATTATAGTACTTGCAGGGGATATGAACGCACAAGTAGGGCGTATCATCATCATCATCATCATCAACAGCAGTACATCAGCCATTTGAACTGATGCTTCGCTGCCATACAACCATGAGGACCTATGAAATAAAGAATAAGAAGAGGGAGAGAAGGGGCGACTTACTTGAAAACCTTAATGCCTTAAGCAAACATTCAGGGTCAAGGCGCCTACACCTTGTGTAGACAACATTCCGTCACAAACAGCGGGCTATCGTGCAAAGATAAGGCGGCATCGGAGAGACAGCTTCCTTGCGGGTTTCACTGCCACGCGTCATAATCAGCCATTACCCCGCAGATAACTCAGCACCAAACACACTTTAAACAGACAATCCGATTAGGAGACGGCAGCCGACGCGCCACTGGTGTCGGTTGCGAGCCATGTCCTGTAAAGTCTCGAGCCAAGCACAAGGTGAGTCACGTGGACTCCAACCCGGAAGGCGAGAAGGACCAACGGCACCCAGTTTGGTCGTCAGTGACTTCATTTCCCGCTGCCAAGTCAACTTCTGTCCACCTCGAGTCTTGCGCCATCCGACACCTGGTAGACTGAACAAGGCCCTCCTAGGTAAGCGGTGACCAGGCATGCGTAGCACGTGCCCGAGCCAACGCAACTTATTCAGTGCTATCTGTTGTTCTAGGGGGGCTAGCATGATTATCACCACCTAGTACTCGCCTACGCACATCATCGTTGCGGACACGCTGGTGCCATCCGACACCAGCAATGCTTCGCAGACAACGATGATCAAAGACTTGAAGGCGCTTCAGATCTTCAGACCGAAGGAGCCAAGTTTCACTACCATAGAGCAGAACGGCCCTCACTGTGACCTTGTATACACGGCCTTTCAGAGGGAGGGAAACTCCCTTCTGTCGCCAAAGATGACGCAGGTTCAAGAAGGTAGCTCTGGCCTTTGCAATGCGTGAGCTGACGTCAGTTTCTATGCGCCCATCATTGCTGATGCAGCTGCCAAGATAAGTGAATTGATCAACCACCTCGAGTTCCTCGTTAGCAAGCGTCAAGGGGTCATCGAGTGGCTGGTGCTCCTGCAGCAACACTTTGCACTTTGAAGGTGCGAAGTGCATACCAAATAATGGGACCACTCTGGATAGGCTATTCAGGGTTGATTGTGCCGCCTCAACATTGTCGAAAAGCAAGACGATATCGTCCGCATAATCTAGATCAACTAACCTTTCACCAGGCAGCACTTCAACATCTACATCGTGAGATTCCGCAAGGGAACACTCCATGATAGAATCCACGACGAAATTGAACAAAAACGGGGAAATCGGACAACCGTGACGAACGCCCCTTGTGGTCGGAAAGCTATCCGATAGGACACCGTAGACCCTGACGCGGCCTGTAGCGTTCGAGTGTAGAGCACGAAGGATGTTCACATATTTCGTGGGAACAGCTTTTCTCGCAAGTATTTCGAACAGAATTGATCGATCGACTAAATCGAACGCACTCTTGAAATCGAGGAACACAGCTATTGTCGGTCTGCGGTATGCGTGGCGCTGCTGTAGCACCTGCCGCAAAGTCAATATATGGTCTATAGTAAATATATGGTCTATGACGTCTGAGCTCTTCAGAAGCTCAGCTGGGTGGTAAGTATGGGCTTAACTCCGACCGGACTGACAACGGCGAACGTCTGCTGCAACTGTGTGCGGAGCACCAGTTGTTTCTTACTAGCACTGCTTTTAGACACAGTGGGCGCCGAAGTGCCACTTGGCGTCCACCTGTAGCTGGCCAGCGATGGACCCAAATTGACCACATAGCCATAGGTTACAGGTGGCGCGGTTCCATTCTGGATTGCCGCTCGTACTGGAGTACCTGTGTCGACTCTGATCATGCCTTGGTGCGCTGTCGTTTCTCCATGA